GAGACAGAGGGGCATAGGGACAGAGTGGTGAAGTGGAAGAGGTAGAGAGGCAGAGAAACAGATGGGGAGAGGCAGGGATATAGATTCAGAGTCCAGGAGTCAGAGGGGCAAAGGCTGAAGTGGAAGGACACAGGCAGACAAGCACATGGGGCAGGGTAGATGTGAAGGAAGATGTAGAGAGAGGCAGAGGGGCAGAGGGAGAAATGCAGAGGTGAGAGGTGGGGAGGTGAGAAGTGGGAGGCAGTGGAATAAGCAGAGAGGCAGAAATGCATTGGCAGAGGCAGAGTGGCAGAGGCAGGGGCAGCAGCGAGCACCAGCACACACTTGGTCCACAGACATACATGCAAACAAAACACTCATACACATAAAATAAATCTAAAAACTTTCCAACGGAGGCTTGGGTTCTTTATACTTACAAAAGGAGAGCTAGAGAAACACTACAGGAATGCCTTTGCTCAGGATCCATCCAATAAATAAATCTTTAAAAAAAAAAACCTGTGGGCATAGAGTGTGATAAACACTGGTGCTCTCGCTTTTACAGTTCTCGTGGTCTTAACTTCTTGTGGAAGCGGGAAGGGCACATCTCTGTATCCAAGAATTGTAAACTGAGCCTAGCCTTAGAAGAAAACGCATTTCCCCTGTTCTTTAAAATTTTAAATTATGTGTATTTCTTTGTGGGTACATTCATATGGATGCACGTACTAGATGATGCCATTGGTGTTGTGTCTCTGTGGAGTTAAGAGCTGTTCTCCAGTCCTCTTCCAGGACAGTATACCCTCTCAACCATGGGGCTATCTCTCAGCCTCATTTGCCTCCCTTCTCACCAGTGCCATATGAGGCCATGGGACTGAGCTTCAGCTTCCTCATATGAAAATTAACGAAAACGGAACCAACTTCAGTAAAATGACAAAATTGACAGGACAATTAGAGAAATTATTTTATTAAGGCTATTGCCATGGGGGAGAATTCTTTAAAAAACACAACAGATGGCTTTGTAGATGGAGGCAAACATGGAAGTCATTCATCAGTGGTATGGGAGTCACAGGCAGTAAGGGAAAGAATATTACCTGAGAGAATTTGCACAGGGAATGTGGTCCTTTCCAACTAGTTTGGAACCTTACAAAAAGGTAGGGGATTTCTCTAGTCGCTTTACTAGAATCCACAGCTCAGACAAAGTTCAATGGTATCAAGAACTTTACAGAAAGCCTGGCATGAGGTAAATGATTCTTTTTAGTTTTTCCTCCAATAGAAAGATGTACAAAACAGCTGGGAGTTGGTGGTGCACGCCTTTAATCCCAGCACTCGGGAGGCAGAGGCAGGCAGATCTCTGTGAGTTCGAGGCCAGCCTGGTCTCCAGAGCGAGTGCCAGGATAGGCTCCAAAGCTACACAGAGAAGCCCTGTCTCGAAAACCACACAACACACACACACACACACACACACACACACACACACACACACACACACAAGAAAGATGTACAAAATGAGTGTAGGCATTCAGAGAAGGATGTAACAGACCCAACAGCTAATGGATAGCCAAGGGTCACATTACTGTGACAAATTGCAAGACTGTTGCTTTTTGTTCCTAGGATGACTCCTATACATTTTTGTTCCGTTACTCCTCATGGGTAAACTGGGTTTGACAAATGATCTTGATTACCAATGATGAACAATGGTTGACAGAAAGAGGGAAGAAAGGAGAATGTTCCAGGTAGCACTAATCTGCTTTCTTGTTAAGAAAAGACATAGAGGCTTAAAAGAACAAAGCCTCCATTTGAAACTTTTTAGATTTATTTTATGTGTATGAGTGTTTTGTTTGCATGTATGTCTGTGGACCAAGTGTGAGCTAGTGCTCACTGCTGCCCCTGCCTCTGCCTCTCTTAACCTCTGCCTCTGCATTTCTGCCTCTCTGCTTACTCCACTGCCTCCCCACCTCTCACCTGTGCATTTCTCCCTCTGCCCCTCTGCCTCTCTCTGCATCTGCCTCCACATATACCCCTCCCAGAGTGCCTCTGCCTCTGTCCTTCTGAAAGACCCCCAGACCCCTAAGGGCCTCAGGATCCCAAGAAGCCCCCAAGACTCAGAAACCAGACCAAGAGCTGCAAAAGCAAGAGGGTTTATTGAACGAATGCGCATTCGGGTGTCAGCAATATCGGGGAAGCTGCACACCCCAGCAAGGGTTACAGGCTCCTTTTATAGGAAAAAAACTGCAGATCAGCATACAGACAAGGGGCACAAGTGATTGATTACAAAGTATGATCTCATGTTAGAGTGGTCATCCAGGTGTGACCTGCTTTTCTACAAAGGAACAACCACAGAACGTACCCTGGAAAGTCCTTGATTGTCTGTTGGCCAGCCAGGTGTGACCCAAAGAGGGTTGTCTTGGTGATTGCTCCTGTCTAAACCATAGGATGTGTCCGGGGTTGGGGCCAACTTCCTTGTCCTGAGCCAAGGCCTGTGGGAAACTTTTTCTCTCTGTGAACTAAAATCTTTCAAAACTTTTTCTCTCAGCAAACTAAAATCTTTCACTTCCACCTCTGCCTCTGCCACTCTGCCTCTCCCTGGGTAAAGTACATTTCAGAAGAAGTTGGCTGGAGAAAAAGGCATACAGAGAAAGACTTGCTGCTAAGTGCAAAAGAGCCAATCACAACAATGATATGACAGGTACCTCCTGTTCTCTTTAAAGTGCTAAATTGGAAAATAACTTCTGTGAGAAGGATGGAGACCCTAAATATATTTTAGCCAGTCCTTAAATTCTTGGAAGGGCTTCATTATGTTGTTTTCTTCTTCAAAGCTCCAAGTCCTAAGGAATTCTTTTGTTGTTGATATTTTAGGTTTTCTTGGGGGGAGGGTGGTGGCGGGCAGAGTCTCACAACGTTGTCCAGGCTGTCTGTCCTGGTACTCATATGCTGGTTTGGACCTCATTTGATCTCACTTCAGTTTCCCAAGTGCTGGGATTATAGAAGTAAGCCATCAAGGGATTATGAGGAATTCTGCAGAAACAGTAATTATACCTTTGTGTATACTGAGAACAACAACATAGAAGACTCAAAGAGTTAAAAATCCTACAATTGCAAGCAATGGTAGATAACTGGAGTGTAGACTAAAATTCTCACCATCCAGATAAACAAAACAACAAAACAAAACCCACCCCAGGAAAAGGCCACAGACTTGTCCAAGGCCACACTGATAGTGACATCCATAGTCTCGAGATAATTCAAATTCCACTATTCTGGCCTCAAATCACCATGCAACAGGCACATACCAACTTACTTATTTCTCTCGTTTGTTTTTTGAGACAGGGTTTTTCTGTATTGCTTTGGAGGCTGTCCTGGAACTCACTCTGTAGACCAGGCTGGCCCTGACCTCTTAGACATCTGCCTGTCTCTGCCTCCTGAGTGCTGGGTTAAAGGTGTGTGCCACCAACTCCGGGCTCCAATGTATTTATTTCTTATTAATAGAACATAGAACATAACATAGAAAATAATGGGTTTCATTATAACATTTTCAAACATGCACAGTCTTGCCCTTTGCTCATATTCACTGCTTCCCTGCCCCATTATCATCTTTGGCCAGTCCTGAACCTTCTCACACTGTTCTCTTTCCTTCCTCCAAACAGGCTGCTATCAATTTACTCTGTACCAGTACTTGTCAAGAAAGCAGATTTTGTTCTACTCAATCATACCTAAATATGTTACTTTCTCTGCAGTTGTTCCTCAATGTCCACAGTAGTGTATTGGATTAGGAACTGTTTATGGAAGTAAAATCATAACTTTAAGCATGTAAGCATTGCAGCGGATCGGATCAGATGGACAGGGATTTTGGCACTCGGGAGCCAAAAAGTACTGAATCTGGCAGCTTAGATGGAAAGGTATTCTGGCACTCGGGAGCCAAAGAAAACCACAGACCACAGTAAGCGTAGGGGTTTACAGGCCTGCTTCAGGGAAAGCTTCCCCAGTGTAACAGCTCTGCTCTGGCAGGAGAGGATTTCCCCAGCCAAATTGTTACAGTTTGGCTCTGGTCCCCTGGAGTGTAGTGTAATAACTTCCCTATGGGAAGGCTTCCTGGTGATCCCTGGGCTCACTCAGCTGGGCTCACTCAGCTCTGCTCTGGCTCCAGGGAAAAGTTGTTTCTTCTCTCCTCTGCTCCAAAAGTTGTTCCTTCTCTTCTCTGCTCCATTGCGGGGAAAGAATGTCTCACCCAAACCTCATTCAAGAGATTTATCTGGACAGTGATGCTGGCAGAGGACAACCGGACGCCCCAATAGCCAGAAGCTGAAAAGACACGGGGTTTATATAGGGATTCTTAGGGGGAAGAGTTTGTCCAGGGAGATTTCCAGGGTGGGGATTGGTCAGATTTCAATCCCCTAGTTTAGGATGGCTAGATCTCCTTCTCAGGGATTGGTTGGTTTTCTGCTCAAGTTCAGGGTCACATTTGGCTCTGGTTTCAGGACCAAAATGTGTTTCTTTCACTGGTCCTTTTTACCCCTTTGGCTCTAGTTTTAGGGCCAGGCTGTATTTCTTTTACTGGCTCTGAATCCAGGGACAAAACATGTTTCTTTGGCACTGGTTTCAGGGTCAGGGTGCATTTTTTTGGTTCTGGTTGCAGGGCCAATGTGTGTTTCTTTGGCTCTGCTTAGGGCATGTTTCGTTGGCTGGCCCCTTTTCCCTACAAAGCATATTACCAGGAAAGTACAGTAATAGAGTACAATTCCTCTATGGACCGCCAAGGGGCGCAAAGTAATTTTTTTTCTCCTTGCAGTCCAGACACACTGGTTGTTGTCAGGGACAGAAGACGCACAAACACCCCACCCCGGAAATGAGCAGAACCTAGAAGCTGAACACTAGTTGTTCTGGTAAGGCTGCTTTGTGAAAAGAACACTTCCGGCGCCGAATGCGGCCTGTAATGCTGCACGTGGGACACATGTCCGACGTTCTAATTGGCCACCCTGACGCTGAGAGGCGGGCTTGGGTGGGGGCTGTGCTCTCCCCTTTGCTGGTCTGCCGCTTGAATCCCGGGTTACACGTTAACGGGGAAAGTGTTGGAAGCGCGCGACTCACGGCATTCTTCAGTTCTGGTGGAATTCCAGGACTAGACCTGGTCTTGGTCCCCAGGGGATGGAGCGCGTGTGGCGAGCCTGGGATGGGCAGTCCTTCAAAGAGGATCAGCCTGAGCCGCCGAGTCCTGAGGGTATCGTGGTCTCCTGGCTCAGCAGAGCTGAGTGGGATCAAGTGACGGTTTATCTGTTCTGTGATGATCTGAAATTGCAGCAATACGCGCTGAACCGTATTACAGTGTGGAGGAGCAGGTAAGGCGGCGGTGGCGGCGGCGGCGGGGGCAGCCCCCCTGCCTGGCTGCTGGCGGTGCCTCACTCCTTCCTTGGTTGAGTTCCCCAACAGCTATATTTTCTAAAGCCTTCCCTTGAAATTGCCTTAGGGTATGTACCTCTCTCCCAAATGCCTGCGGGGAAAGTTGCAGCCAAGCTCTTGTACTCATCCCGTGGGTGAAAAATGGGTTGTACGTCCCAGTAATTTTTTTTTTTTTTGTATCTATGAGGTTTAAGCTTTACATGCCAAGTAGAGGGGACCTGAGCCAGGACTAAAAGAGTACGTTGACATGCTAGGGGTGGTTTTCTGATTCCAATTAGGGATTGGACTGTGGCCCTTTAGGTTAGACGAAGGATTGAGGTGGCTGTTCAGTTCAATTTGGGGGTGCGTGGGTATCGAGATTTGGGACTTCTCTAGTTAAATAGTTTGAGGGGGAGAGAATGAACTGTGTCCACACAACTGTTGGTGAATGTAGCAGTTAAGATACCCTGTGTATCCCAGACAGCTTCTCACTTCCTTTATTAATGTTGGCTCTCGGGGACTTTACCTGTCTTTCCCAGTGTTTTGTATCTACCACGCACTTTTCAGTATGTAATGGGAGTATAGTGCAACAACCAAGATTCTGTGGTAGAGGGTGGAACAATGTAAGGACTTTTATGATGGTGCTGGACTGTGGCCCTTTAGGTTAGGCAACGAACTGCCCCTGGCAGTGGCTTCTACTGCTGACCTGATACGATGTAAGCTCATGGATGTAGCTGGTGGCTTGGGCACTGATGAACTTAGACTGCTCTATGGCATGGCATTGGTCAGGTAAGACCTTCATGGGGTAAGACTGGGAGACGGGGTGGCTTTGGGGACTGGAGGTGGGTAAACATGGATGAAAAAGCTTGGCTTCAGGTGCTACCTGAAACTTTAAAAATCCCTGGGTGGGTCTTTGTGTGTGAATCAACTTGGAATTGTTTATTTAGGCCCATGACAATGCCTTGTTCACAACTATGCCTTGTTCACACAATCTTTTCCTTCGTTTCAGAAAGCCTTCTCTCTTTTGGTTTTCCTTCTCTTCTGGGATACGTGTAGGTCTGTGAGGGGATGGAAAATTCAGACCGTGTGGGGTATTCAGATCCAAGTGTAGGGCTGTTAGGGGGTGTGAAATTCAGAACATGTGAGGTATTTATATCCAACCCAGCTTTGACAATCTGATTCCCCCCCCCTTATTAACTTCTCACCAAGAACTGTTTTGACGGGGTTTCATTATGTAGCCCCTATTGGTCTGCAACTTTCTACTCCAGGGTGATCCTCTTGCTCTGTCTCCCTCCTGCTAGAATTGCAGAATTCTGCCATTGTTCCCAGTTCAGAGAAATTTTTCTGAGTGGTTCATTGCTGTAATTTATTGTGGATTGTCCAACCATCTCACCATACCCCACCCACCAACACACATATAGATGGGGGTAGAGTGGGTTCCTTGAACTACCTTTTTTCCTTTTCTCTTCCCTCTGAAAGCTGAACGGTTGCTGAATTGTGGAAGAAAGGACACAGGCTGGGAGTTTCCGGTTTAACTGAATCACAGTGGTTCTGACAATTTCATACATTGTTGGGGGAGGATTACCACTGAGTTTTCTCATATTTCAAAGCCTTATATAGTTCCATTCTCTGTCTTGATGTCTTCCACTTTATCCTCTGTTTCTGTCATTTATCTGTTCTCCCCATGTTGTTTGATGTAGTCATTTGTTCTAACATTTATAGCATATTGTGTTCTAGCATAATATGTCATAATTATTCCAGACCAAATTTGCCAAGACCAGAACAGTGTTTTATATATCTGTATTGTTTCAGTACATAGCATAGTACTCAATAAATGTTGGAGTGGATGGAAATGTCCTTTGACTGGCTGACACCAATCATAAGAATAGACCAGTTAGCAAAAAAAGATTGTAGAAATATAAGGTGTCAGTAACTTCACAAGGGATTTTGGGTAAAACAGTTTTATTGTATTATGTCACTTATTTCTTTCCCAACCCAGGTTTGTGAATCTTATCTCAGAGAGGAAGACCAAATGTTCTAACCTCCCCCTCAAGTACCTGGCTCAGGAGGTATGTGTGATAAAATGTCATTTCACATTTCCTTTTTCTAGGAGGCCTTCTTAAATAGGTCATGGGGTAATGTATGCATACAGATTAATCTCATCACTATCAGGTAGACCCAGTAGGAGCATCTGATCCTTAGCTTTCAACTTTTGTGTTGTTGCTAACATGTGAAATAATGTGTTCCACTGCAGCATTCATACATATATTGTGAAACTTTCTTATATGTCCCTCTCTGCTTTCCTCTGCTATTCCCCCTCTTCTCATATAATCCTTCCATTTGCTTGTATGTCACATTCCATTAGCCTCGCATGTTCTCCTTGTCCTTCTCATTAGATCCTTTCTCCCTCCCCCACAGCCTGCTTTTTATAGATAATCCCTAAACAATACACACAGGTATATAAATTCAAATCTAGATTCTGCATATGCGAAAACTTGTGAAATAGTTGATTTTCTGATCTGAGTCTGGCTTATTTTGTTTGCTTCACATACTGATCTCCAGTTTCCTCTGTTTTCCTGAAGATCTCATACTTTCACTTTTCTTTATAGCTGAGTAAAATTTCATTCTGTATATGTTCCATGCTGTTTTCATGTATGTGTTGATAGACCTATGGGCTCATTATATATTGCACTTATTGTGAATCAGGGTAGCAGTAAATGTGGATATGTAAGTATTTCTGTGGTATGTTGATTTAGAATCTCTGGGTTTATGCCCAGGAGTGGTATAGGTGGATCATATGATAATTTTAATTTTAGCTATTTAGGAACCTCTATATTGATTCTTTAGTGGCCATGCCAGTTTACACTCCTGCCAGCAGTGAATTTGGGTATTCATTTCCCCTCATCCTCTCCAGCATGTACTGTTGCTTGTTTTCTTAATGATAGCAATTCTGACTGGGTTGAGATCAAATCTTGAAAAAGTTTGATTTATAATTCCTTAAGTGCTAAGGCTGTTAGACAGTATTTCAAATATTTATTGAGCATGCACATTTCTTTGAGACCTGTACATTAGTACATTTATTGGTTGGATAATGTTCAATTTTGGGGATTCTTTATAGATATTAATGCTTATATGATATATTCTTGGCAAAGATTTTCTCCCATTTTCTAAGCTGTGCTAGATCTTTGTTGTGTTATTTTCTTTGACATGCAGAAACTTTTAAGTGTCATGCAATCCCACTTGTTGAATTTTAGGATTAGTGCTGTTGGAGTCCTTACCAGAAAGTTTGTAACTTGATTGAATGTCCAGTTTTAAAGGAGCAGATTGCTGCCATGTTTCTAATCACTTGCTCTTCAGTGGGCATGGCAAGCTCTGCTTGTTTGGAGGGGCCCAGTGAAAGTGAGGAGACTGACTATAACACTGGGTAGGGACACCAAAGATGGTAGTAGTCAAAATGCCTGCCCTCCAGGAGCTGACAATCTGAGGAAAGAAACAGCTCAGCCAAGTAGCAAGAAAATGCCAGGTATTTCTGGCTCCAGTGAGTATGTTAGTTGTGTAGGGGCTTTGAGGGTGGGTGTGTTCTCAGCAATGAAAAAAAACTTCCCGGAGCTCTTGTGGGAGGCAAGGAAGGATAAAAGTACCTAAAAGAAGGAAAGGGCAAAGGGAAGCTGAGAAGGTAATTACTAACGCTCATTCACAGAAATCTTTTGAAGGAGAGTGGGTGGAGGTAGTTACATTTTCTTATTTTAGCACTACTTCCAATGAACAGTAAAATAAAATCAGAAACCCTGCATTTTAATAATGATTATCAGTAAGACTGGAGTCTTCACTGGGGAAGGATAGTCAGGGTGATTCATCCCTGAATTTCTGCAAGCTTTATTATTTTCCCATTTCTAACTAAACTCATGCTCCACCCCTAATCAGGTGAACATTCCAGACTGGATTGTTGAGCTTCGCCACAAGTTGACCCACAAAAAAATGCCTCATATAAATGACTGCCGCAGAGGTGAGTGTCAGTGGGTGTGATACCTATCACAGTTAAGCTCACGGGCCTGGGCAGGATGGCATTTTGGGGAAGGGGGACAGAACAGATCAGACAGTATCAGAACTTGGGTGAAATATATTGTAGACTCATTTTGGCTACAGTATGAGGGACTTTCATAAGCTTAGTGAGCACAGTGTATAGTATTTTCATATGGGAAAATCCATGTGGGAAGTATGAAAAATGAAACCAGGATTAGTATTAACTTTTTTCATATTTCAGTCTGGCTTGCCAGTGTACTGTTCACTGTTTTGGTCCTTTTTTAAATTTCAGAGTTATTTTTGTTTATGTACATGCCTGTGTGTTTGCTTTTGGTCTCTGGGTAGCTGTGGAGGCCAGGAGAGGTTGCTGGGGCCCCTGAAACTAGGGTTATAGGCAGTTGTGAGCCAACTTCTCTGGGCACTGGGATCTGAACCTGGGTTCTCTGTAGGTGCAGCAATTGCTCTTAGCTGATGAACCGTCTCTGTAGCCCCCTTTTTGATATTTTAATTATAGGGTATTTTTTTCCTCTTAAATTTTGCTATGTGGGTTTGAAGGGGTGGGTTGAGAGGTGTAAACCATAGTGTCTTGAACTCAGGCATTCTTTTTATATTCATTCCAACTTGATTAAAAATCCCTGATTTTGGGGGCATTGGTGGTGCACGCCTTTAATCCCAGCACTCGGGAGGCAGAGGCAGGCGGATCTCTGTGAGTTCAAGGCCAGCCTGGTCTCTAGAGCGAGTGCCAGGATAGGCTCCAAAGCTACACAGAGAAACCCTGTCTCAAAAAACCAAAAAAAAAAAATCCCTGATTTTATTTCCTGTTGTATTCAGACTACTGAGATCTAGAAAAGGAAAGCAACTTGGCTAAGGCCATTTAAGTATCTGGTGTAGCTAGGTTTCAGTTCCCCGTTAACCACCCCTTGCTTTACTTGGCACCCATGTCTAAGGCCACTATTATTTTCCCCCCGGGAAAGATACTAGTGAGCAGGAGAATACAAAAAACAGGCTAAAGGAGAGGCTATAAATGGCTGTTTGAGATTTGAACCCTGGAGTCATGTCTCTTCCTTAGAATTTCTCACTTATACATACAGAATGAGAGTAGAGGTCCAGAGAGCTGGGGACCTGCTAGTTACTTGCCCATAATTGGTCCTGTGGCATATCTTTCTCCATACCCCCACTTCTTCTAGGTTGCTACTTTGTCCTGGGTTGGCTCCAGAAGACATACTGGAGCCGTCAACTGGAGGACAGCCTGAAAGACACGTGGGAGTTGGAAGAGGACCTGATAGAGATAGAAGAACAACAAGAAGAGGAAGGTGAAATTATTGTTGATGATGTAATGGAAGAGAATCCAGAGCCTCAGGATGATGATAAAGATGATGAGTTGGCTGTCGAGGATGATGCAAACGATAAAGACAATAAAGAGGCGGCTTCTCATCCAGAACCAAGTCCAAGACATAAGGAGTTGTATGGTAGGTACTCGTGTGGGCACAGAGGGGCCCATGTACCTGGAGCACTCAAGCTTGAGGTCAGTACTACTTATTTCCTTGACAGAACATTTTCTGTGGGCTGTGGTACGTTCCGGCATGAAAAGTTACAAACTCTCTTCCTGGGATAGTTTCCATGGTGTAATGGTTATTGCATTTGCCCCATCATTTTTCTAGAGTTATGTGAAGTAAGTGGGGAAGGGATTTTAGTTCTCAATTTACAGCTCAAGAAATGAGGTACAAGAGGCTCAGACTCCCAGAGGGACTGGGATGCTGGGATTCCTTCCCTAACTTTTTTTTCATTCTGTTTTCAGAAAAAGCACGGGAATTGCTGGTAGCATATGAAGAGGAGCAGTTTAAGGTGAGTGTCCTGTATGTGACATGCTGTTACCTGCCCCAGTCATTTCTTCCCTCTCGCCAGCTACCTGAGAGAAATCTTGAGAAAGAATTTCAAAGTGGCAAAGCATGAGGGAACTTCTCAGAGAATTTGGAAGAAAAGTGGCAAAGCTTGAAGGTACTCCTTGAAGGGGGTGGGAACTAGGAAGGAGACAAGCAGAGTCTGATCGGACCATCCTGTGAACTGGTGGAAGGGAGCAAGCAGATAATGAAATTGGACTCTTCTCTGGTCCAGAGAACTGGGAATGGGCTGCATTTGTAGAACTCTGTGATTCTCAAGATGACCAGCAGGTGGGGCCTATGAGCCTCCCTATATCAGATGAGACTTAGGGTACTTTTTATGAAAAGGCCAAGAAACCACATACTTCATTCTCGGTTTTTCACAGACAAATTGAAACCTTAGATGAGGGAAGGGACAGAGTCCGGGTTATATACACAGTTAATAATGGAAGTAGGATAAGAACCTGGGTCTCAACAATTCTCTTGCTCCCATAACTCTTTTCTTCCATTTGTTCCTTACCCGTTGGCCCCCAAATCTCTGCTCATCTCAAACCATATCCTCCTATTTGACACCTCGTATTAGAGTAGCTGATGATTGGGAGCCACAGAGGATTTGGAGGGGCTAGAGTGGGAGAAAGAGAAAAGCTAGTCATCTTTAGTTGCTGGGCCAATAAAGGAGTTGTGGGCCCATCTGGCATGCTTTGTCCTGTTCCCTTAAGGGCAGTGCCAAGGTACTATGAGAAGGGATCCTGGAGGAGTTTGGGGTAGGTTTCTTGGCAGAGCCACACTTCTGATTGACTTTTTTTCTGTCAGGTGCTGGAGAAATATAGGCATTTACCTCAAGCTGTTAAGGTGTGGAATAACCTTTCCCCGTGTGTACAGTGTATCCTGGAAGAACTCAAGAGCATTACATGGGAAAACAGGTTTGTAACTTGGTAACTCTGGGTTACCTGCTCTCTAGGGTAGAGGATAAAAGCCTCGTTGAAATTGGTTTCCAAGTCATACCTGGTGATGTAGACCTGTAATCCCAGTTACTTGGGAGGTTGAGGTAAACAGATTTCAAATTCACAGCCTAGCTACAGAATGAGATCAAAGCCAGTCTGGGCAATTTAGTGAGACCATGTGTCAAAATAATAGTTGAGGAGATAAAAAGAAAAGTGGCTGGGGATATAGCTCAGTGGTATCATGCTTGTCTAGTATGCACAATGCCCTGAATTCAGTTCTTAGGACCAGAAAGAGAAAGTGATTGTCATATTCTAGGTAATTGCTCTGTTGTAGGAACTCCTAGAGGTCACTTTCCTCCTTCTGTATGGTACTGTCTTCTGTATGGTCTGCCTCCAACCCTGCCAGCTACCTTGTTACCTACTGTGAGTTACTAGAACAGCCAGAGTTAGGAATGCCTATAGTCATGCCTTCCCTGGCAACCTTTTTCCTTTGTCACATGGAATGGATCAGTCTTGGCAAATAGAACAAGGCTTTGATATCTAGCACCTCACTACCTAGTTTTGGGATAATGCTAGTCTGTTCTTTCAAAAAGCTGGTGGAAGATGTCAATATCTCTTGGGTAGTCATGCCTACGCAGACAGAGGAAAGGCCTTTTCAGTGCATGGGTGCTAAAGGCTAAGTTCCCTCCTTTTCCAGTATGGCTGTGTGTTGCCCTGCCCAAAAACAATCCTCAATTTAACTAGAGTAGGCAAAAATGTTGCTCTTAAGTATTCCGCCTAAATTCAGTTTGAAAGGGCTCTGGAGGACTTACTACCAACAGCCTGTGGAGGAAGGCTCAGAGTGTCGTGTGGCTCAGTGGTAGAGCAGTTGCCTAGTATGCACGAAGCTTTGGGTTTGGTCTACAGTGCCAAAAGGAAAGAAAGAAAAAGCAAAACATAAAAAAACTATGGAGCTACTTCTGGCCCTTCAGTGAAGGAAAGTTAAAAGATATCTAAGATGCAGAGTTGAAAAAAAAATTGTACTAGATCTGATAGAGGTGAGTTTGGATGGAAGCTTGTCATGTAAGCTGAGACTACTCTTGTTGTCTTGTCTTTATTCCCAGGAGACTAGTTCCAAAGGTGATGATGCTGTTAGAGGTGACTTGTTTGTTTGTTTTGGCTTATTTTGAGACAAGCTTTCCCTGTAGAGCTCTGGCAGGCCTCAAACTCACTATGTAGACCAGGCTGTCTTGGAACTCAGATTTACCTGCCTGTGCTTCCCAAGTACTCTGATTAAATGTGTGTACCCCACCATGCTCCCAAAGGCACTTTACTAGAGTTTGCCCTTGCTAGACTTCTTGGCTCTACCTTTCAGCAAAAGTAGGGGCAGCTTCCCCAGCAGTTGTGCCCTACATAACAGTATCTGCTTTTTGTGCTGAGCTGAAGTTCTAGGCCACTCACCTGAGGAAATGAGGGATAGTTGGAAGGACAATTATTTTCTCACATTTGGTCTGATGGATAGAAGGAGCTGACTGTGTTGTCAGCCCTCAAGATATTAGGACATTGTGAAAGCTTATTGACTCCTTCTAGACCTAGTCAGCTAGGAGAGGCTCTTAGCAAGCCAATAGCTGTAGAGAATTCAGTTGCTGGTTTAGATTTGAGCTAGATGAAGCTGAGAAATCTCTCATAATGCTGGTGTTTTCAACCCCTCTAACTTTGATCTGGGTTCTCAGTACAAAATCCTGGCTCATATTTGGACTAGCAGTTAAATACCTAACATTTAAACTTCTGGAATCTAAAAGAAGGTAGCCAGTAGGAACAGAATGTGTAGAAGACAGAGAAACAGGCAAGAGAAACTAAAATATTGTAGGAACTGAGGTCTAACCTGGTCATTTAATTTCTTCTGTCACTGAGACTTTTCTTCTGTGATTTGAGTTAGTCAGTCACCAGTGCTCTCATTTATAGGCCTTACATTCCCATATGCTTGGTACACGAGTGGTCAAAGCCCACTGATTCTAGACTCTGGCTCAGTCCCTCCCCAAGGAGCCTGAAGCCTAATAGCTATTGTCATCTGCTTAGTCTCTCCCACTGGTACTCTGGCCATTTGAATCAGAGACATTAGCTATTTTGGAAATGTTGCAGAAATCGGTGAGTCTTCTTTCAGCTTGCATTCTAGTGTATAGTTTTGTTTTATTTTGTTTTTTTGTCTTCTTGGTGCTGGGAGTCAGGCCCTGGCCCTTATGCACACTATGTTAAGTATTGTACCATTGAGCCATAACCAATGGTACAAGCCCCTTAAGTCATTTCAACTTTAAATAACCAGTGAATGAATCCAGCATATTTGCAAAGGTCACCTTTTTCCCCCTTTGAGACTCATTTTGGCTATGTTACCCAGGGTGGTTCTTGCTTTTGCCTTGGCCTCCTTTGTCTCTGAATAGCTGGGATTGCAGGCATGTGCAACCACGCCTCTCTAATTTGCTTTAGGAATGCTGTGCTGGATGCTTTTCTGGATGACGGCTTCCTCATTCCCACTTTCGAGCAGTTGGCAGCTTTGCAGATAGAGTATGAAGGTAGGGTCCTGGATGTTCACTGCAGTCTTGGGATTCTGTGTGTCTTGTTTGGGAACTCCAGAAGTGAGCTGGAGTGTGGGGTGGGGTGGGACTGAAACCTCAGCCCTTTTGGCTGAACAGAATAGGCAGTCCCGCTGCTGTGTAGTAGTGGGACTTTCTTTAAGTGGCCTTGAACAGGTTAAGGTGGGTTTGGGTGGGTTGGGTAGGGGTTTCTTAACACTGTTATTGTGCCTTGTTAAACATGATTTAGCCACTAGCTAGAGAGCTAGAACAGCAGCATTGGAAGGGCCTTGAGAGGTCATCTAGTCCAACATCCTCATGTTACAGATGGTCAGACTGAGGTCAAGAAAGGGGAAGTTACTGAACCAAATTCACACAGTGAGTTATTGACAAAGCTGAAGTCAGAATCAGAGCTCTTTTTCTTTTGTACTTGGTTTTTTATCAGTTGTTGTTTGCCAGATACTAACTGGTTTCTCTTTCCCTGCTGTTCTGCTTTCCTTTCCTCTTGTTCTGCAATGGCAATTCTTGTTGTTGGGACTTGGGTGTGTCTGTTCTTTCTCTTGGTGTGCATTTTTTCTTCTCTTTTCCCCACCCCCTCTTGCTGGCTTGCTTTGGTGCTCTCTCATTCTCTTGCTCTTGATCCCATTGCCCTTCCCGTCCATCAACGGGTATCCCTCACAAACCAGAAAACATCGACTTGAATGACGTCTTGGTGCCAAAGCCATTCTCTCAGTTCTGGCAGCCCCTGCTCCGGGGCCTGCACTCCCAGACCTTCACACAGGCCCTGCTGGAGAGGATGTTCTCTGAGATGTCTACCTTGGGGAACCGTGGGATTCGACCTACCTACATCCTTAGATGGACTGTTGAACTGATCGTGGCCAACACCAAGACTGGTGAGGAAAACTAGCCCTAGTCCTCAGGCCCAGGCATCACAAGCAGAAGCATATGCCAGGGTCCTCAGCTCTGCTGTAAAGTACCACCACGTGGGTAGCTCCCTTGTTAAAGGGTTAACGTTGCCCAAGAGAGTCCTGTAGGGAGTAGTGGACAAATCTCCCTCTTTTTCTTCTCAGAGCCACCTGAACTGGGCACTTTGAGTAGTTGGAAAATACAGGTGGAGATTTTGGGGGATGAAGGATTGAGTCTAATTTTTGAAGTCAAAGACTGGGTGGAGGCCTCACCTGGCTTTATCTTAAGCCTCTATTTTCTTTCAGGACGGAATGCTCGGAGGTTTTCTGCAAGCCAGTGGGAAGCAAGAAAGAGCTGGAGGCTGTTCAACTGTTCGGCCTCCCTTGATTGGCCCCAGGTGGTCGAGTCCTGCTTGGGCTCACCTTGCTGGGCCAGCCCCCAACTCCTTCAGCTGTAAGTCTTAATTGCATCTGGTCATAGGGTATGGCCCTGGAAGCCTCGGCGCCTCACAGCATTAGACTGGCTGAATTGGAAGGCTCTTTAGTGATTACCATGGTATCCCTTTCCTCCCAGTAACAGATGGGAGAACTAAATCTGGAAAGGGGAGGGGTAGGGTGCTGCTGCCCAGGATCATTTAGTGTAAGACTTGGCTGAGCTGAGTCTGGTGTGAGAGTGTTTAGCATGGTGGCCTGCATAGAGCAAGTGCACAATAAATGGTAGCTGGTGTTTATTACTGAACCCAGGTCTTCTGGCTCCAAGCCCAGTGCTCTCCTCTATTTGCTCCCCAAAGTACTCCTTCGATAGCTACTCAGCAAGCCCCGATGCCTTCTTAGCAGAGTGAAGGTTTAACCGGACACTCAATTATATTTGTGTTTCTGGACCTACCTGTCATGGTAACCGTATCTCTTGTGAGTCCCCTTTACTCAGTTCTCTATAGGTTGTGTGGCCAATTGGAGTATTATTTTCATTCCTGTAAATATCCATGATTGTTTTCCTATCCCTCTTCTCTGTCAGTTCTTGGCCCTAAGCTCCTTTCCTTATTCTCCTGGAACCTTTAGTACCTCATTGTCTTCCTGCTTCCTAGAGCAGGGTCTGTTTCATTTGAGTGCCCCATTTGACCCCCGCATTTCTTTAACTCCAGAGCTTTTCCTTCTCCACTGTATACAGCAGCATATTTCCATTATTCAGGGCTTTCTTCTGAAGGCTGACATCCCCGTGTCTTACTTGGTGACCACCATGTCTTGTCTGACTTTTTATCTGTGTCCCAACCTCCAGCCCTCTGTTTCTTTCCTTCCTCTTGCTTCCTCAGCCTTGTCTGTAGTTAATCACTTCTCCTGAGCACCTTCTGTTCTAGTGATCCTTCGGCAGTGTCTCACTGCAAACTCCCAAGCTGGGACTGGCTTCCCTGCTTTGTTTCTTTCATTCCTCAGCCTGGGTAGCCAGCTGAGTTCTCCCTGAGAAAAAGACAGCATTGAAAAAACAGAAAAATACTGCTCATTGCTGCCACTGTAGAGTTACAAGTTTTAGTCTTATGTCAGGCTTCAGTTCTATGTCTGGGCATTTGTCTACTGACCACTTTGTCTCTCTGGTCTTAGACTGTTGTAAAGACACCATTGACCTCAAGTCTCTCCATTTCACCCTGGCTTCCTCCGGCACATGAAGGCATGTTCCAGGTCTCCCTCAACCTGAGGTTGAGTTTTCTGGAGCTGATCTGTCTATACAGTCAACACCACCAATCTCAGTTTGAGGTGGCCTTGCCCTGCATCAAAACCTATTCTTCTGTCTGTGCTCTGGAGCCACTTCTGCCAGCATTGTCGGGGTCCCACCCCAGTTTCTCCCTTGCTTAGCTGCGTCTTACCCTTTATGAATGTGTCTGAGGTTTTTTGTTTTTTCATCTTGAAGAGTAATAACACAAGCTGCATCTGCTTTGACCATGCATATTTTTGTTTGCTTATTACCAGCTTGGCATTTTCTTTTCCTGTCTCCAAAAGATGGTTCTCACTTAACGTCTTTATTATCTCCCTCCTTTTCCTCCTTAGCCTGCTGCACTTTTGTTGGCGCTCAGTCCCAAAGCTGCCTTGACCTAATTATCCAAACCAGGTCTCGTTAATTTCTGTACCTGCTACATTAATGCTGGATGCCACACCCTCCTAGAAATGCCAGTGCTTGTTCCTGGTCCATATAAACTTCTCAGCCTTAGTCCAGTCCTTTTCCTCTACGATTCAGCTTCCTCTACGCAACTGCACATCCAACATCTGCCTTTGGATGGGCAGTGCAATACCAGAGCGATCTTTACTGTTACAGATCTCACTTGGTGGTAGCACACTCTATCCTCTGTTGACTCCTAAATATTTTTCAAATTTGAGATTTATGTTGCCGTGTCTACTCCCCCCCACCCCCCATGTCTCCTTCCCTCTCCTCGACTAAGCTTTGCAAGGGCAAAAGCTCTGCATTAGCTGTCTGTACTCCAGCGTATCACATAAATCCAGGCAGCAAGCAGGCCATACTAAATACCCATGAACTCCTTTGCAAGGGCTGTCTGTACTCCAGCATATCACATAAATCCAGGCAGCAAGCAGGCCATACTAAATACCCATGAACTGAATGAAATATCCTCTGCTGTCTCCTTACCAACAGTGCTTGTGTTGATAGGATTTGACCCAATATCTGAGGAATGAGTGAAGTGGGAGACTGGATGCCAAGACTGGGTTGATTTCCTGATCCATCTATTTGATCCAAAAGTCTTTCTTGAACCCTTAGTGGCATCTGGGCTACAGTCATATTTATACAATAAAAAATGTGGCCTTACAGACAAATTCAGCCAAGGCAAGAACTTCAAGAGGTTAGACCAAGATGTATAGCCACGTTGACAGATGTGTGAGGTCTGGACTATAAGGCACATGAATAAGAAGTGGGGAAGCAAACCAGCAGCTTCTGGATGAGTCAGGCTAGAACATCAAAGGAGAAGCATTTGTGCATTTCAAGAAGAGAAAAATCAAGGAAGTTTCAGAAGTGGTAGAAGGAATGTAGGATGTGTATGTACTTGGGGGAGGGACTGAAAAGAGCAGAATGGAGAGGTTTGATTAGATGGCCTTCAAGGTACTTTCCAATCCTAAGTGCCTGCAGAGTGGAAGCTGCTGGTCTTGGAGAAGTCTGGACCACAGAGATCTTCTCCCAACCCAAGCATATCAGAGGGATGCGACACATGCCAGCAGTAACAGCGGCTCACTTGGGTACGATTCCTTGTGCACAGATCCTAACCTTTCTCAGATAATCAATTATATTACATCAAATCACCCATTATACAGAGTGGGAAATAGAGGGGTTGCACCTAGGTATGCTGCAGTGAGGGCCAAAAATCCCTGTAGCCTCCCGTTAGGTCTGAGGCTTCCCATAATGTTCCACATAGATTGAACTATGCCAGAAAACCTGTTACTATGTGAATACAAAACTCTGTTTTTGTTTTTTTCCAGAGAAAATATAAGATACCACTGATAAGTAACAGGCATCATGTTTCTTTTTTCGAGAGGCTATTTCCTTTAATTTGACACAACAATCTTGGGAGGTGGAAGTATAATATATTTTGACAGATAAAGTATCTCGGAATTGAGGATTGAAGTACCTTAAAGTCACAGTGGTTTGTTGATAATGGGATGAGAATCAAGGACTGAATTCTATAATTCTAAACTTGGCTTTCTTTCTACCTAAACCCGTGACCTCAGTCCCAGGCTATGACAGGCAGAAAGGTGCATTCTATGATTCCTATCAGCACAGCTCCTAATGGGCAGGCTAGAGCTAGGGAGAGCGGATGGGTAATAAGCAGCAGTGACAAGGCATCTTGCCAACACCAAGTGCCTGGGGATATTTATTATTAATCCCACTAATGGACGACAGTGAGAGGGTAGGGTTTCTTCCTGGCCTCTCCTCACATAAAGTTGTAAGCAATTCAGGAGCTTCCCCCAGCCAGGCGATTGATTCAGTTTCAACCAGTGTCCTCTTGCAATATGAAATGAGTCCTGCCAACAGGGAGCCCCAGTCCAGTCAGTAGATCCCAGCCCTGTCCCCAGAGACCAGTGGCCGGCCATATGTGACCAGTCTGCATGCGCTGCTTGTGCTACCTCTGGGAAACATGCATAGTCACACTACACTTCTAGAAGGACGTGCCCCATCCCTCCATCCTGCTGTGTGTCCCACAGTGCCAGTGGCTACCTCTCAGGGGCCAGGCTCTGTGAGGTGTGTTCACCCTCATCCTCCCCAGCAGCTCTGTATTTGTCAGTGGGTTTGTCGTTAGCAGCATCTGTTGTGTGCACAGTATCATCTTGTTGAATTCTCCTCTGTTGGACCCTTCCCGTTGGTCACCAAGCTGTGCTCTTTGTGTGTCTGTCCTTTACAGCTTCCTCCCTGTCGTGTCTACCAACAGTACCCTAGGTCCTCCCTAACCCACTGTTTTGAATTGTGAAAACAGGTGCCTCCCTGGTCTTCCTGCCTCTAGGCTGCCCTGGCCTGGCCATCCTCCATGTGGTTAACATGGTGATCTTCAGAAATGGC